TAAAGCATAAACTAATGTAAGTCAAAACATGACTTAAAGATTTCGTGACTGCAATAATTCATATTCTTTGGGTCTTTCGGTAAAGTAACGTAGATAGGTTCAAAGAAAATAGCAAAAAACTACGACGTTTCGGTCGCAACACAAGCGGTCGTCATCAGGAAAAGGGGGTTAGCTTCTAAAGGCAAACTGTTTATAAAGGTTTAAAATTGGGCGTAGCCCAAATGTCAGCCGCATTGGCGGGGCAGCTAATGTTAATGTAAGTAAAATATGATCCGTCGTAGTTTTGGGTTATTTTCTTTGAACCTATCTACGTGGCTTTACCGAAAGACCCCAAAAAATAGTGTAAGTCACTTTGCCTTTACAGAAGTGGCATTCGTTGTTTGAATTTTTATCTTCTCTCGCTACCGACATTTAAATTATTATACCTAACGCAATCCTTCCATTCTCCACTATGGCACGGAGGAATGAAATGCGGTTCATGATTCAGGCGTCTGTGCAGCGTAACGTCAGGTGGTCCTGTCCGCTTTTCCATTAACCCCACTCGCTTTACTGCAGAGTTCGACCCCCGGAAGCAGCAGGAGCTGACTTTCACGAGAACCCACGTGGAGAGATGGAGACCCGCAAGCCCACGCTCGAGAATACAAAAAAAAAGGCAAAATTGGAATCGCCGACTAACCTTGACTTTCACAGCTTCGAAGAGCAGCTGTGTATGTATGGAGCTGTGATGTTGTTGTTGTTGTTAATGAGTCGGTGCATACATTTACATATGAATACACGTGATTTCAAAACGGTTCTTTGCTGCTCGACAGAGCGCTCGGGAGGTTGTTCGGCTCCTGTTTGCGGCCCTGAGCCAGCGGGTGGAAATTCCACCACCCGATGGCAGGGGCGAGTCTCTCCATAGGAAAAACCGCTGGTGACTTCGTAAGCATGTTGTCTATAATTTTATGGAACCGGAGGGACGTATGGGCTGAGTCAACCCCCGCCCACCCAACCAGAATTTTAACTCACACCCTTCTGATCGCGAGCTTCTAAATCCGTCTGTCACCAAGTCACAAAAAATACTGTTCGTATTCTTGATTGTATTTTTTTCTTTACGTTGAATTAACACTAACGAATTAGCCACGTAAATTGTGTAACATATACCAATCTTTTTTCGACGTAGGGCGACATCAATTCAAGTATCCAGTAACGGCAATCCAATATTAGTCTTGGTTATGTTTTTAGAGCAGCCCATTGTTTCGTATCCATGAGCTCTATGAAGGATAAGGTGGTGGTCACGGGGTTTGTTTGATCAAATTCACGACACAGATTGTTCAAGGTAGTTACGGGCCCCATACAAGTTAAGATATTAAACTCAGGTTGCTAGGGCTCAGAGCGCAGCGCATTACTAACGGCTCAGCATCGATATACAACACGCATTATCTAAGTTATGTTTGATTCTGTATGTTTACAACATTTATAGACACGATTAATCTGATTTTATATATATACGATGAAGCAAGACCTCACTCGTCTACTTTATTAGTTGGTTAAATTTCCAACACAATGGATTAACTGCTACATTAATAGATTAATATATCATTTTAACCACCACTGACGAATTCACCCAGGATGCGCCAGATCTCGTCAGATAAGGGAAGCAGAACATTGTTAAGCCCGGAGAGTGCTAGGATGGGTGTCCAACAAGGCCGTAATTATAACATATATATTCAAATATGCTCAAAATGTCCCCCCCCCCCCAAATATATTGCTATAAAATAGATTTATGTTATATGATTGTGGTTATGGTTCTACTTTATTAATCCCTAATCTCTGCCATTACATACAATGAAACAAGAAAAGTTTAAAAAGTAAAAACAGAGCAATGTAATACAATACACTATTAGACATTATTGTAAAAAAAAAAGTCCATCCTATGTGTGAGTGAATTTTTTTATATTTTAGACAGGAATTCGTTTTCAAATTTAGATTTTATTCTGGGGGGGGGGGGGACCCCCAGACCCCCTGGAAGATTTGACCCCCCCCAATGTTGACTCCATGGTTACGGCCTTAGTGTTCAACACGCATACAGGCTGCTGTGGGTCTACACTGTCACCAGAGAGGGCAGTGCAGCCAAACCCCCTGCTGTACTGCACTACGCTCCAACGTCTATGGCCCCATGCCTTCGCCAGCAACGCACTGACCAAACCGGTCTTGGTGAAGTGCGGTCAAATAATCCCTCCTCACCCCCCCCCACCCCCATGACCCACACGGCGTGGGAAGGGCCTCGTGGGGCAGAGGCTGACAAAAGGGCCCTTGCGGATGTACAACCACAACAACACGCGCGCAGAGTTGTTGTTTAAACCAAGTAAGAAAGAAAGAAGGGCCCGTGTCTATGCACAGTGGGTGAGGGTCAGATTTTGGGACGCGCGAGCTGTCAGTGGGGGGATCATCAAATCCACCGTGTACACTGTCACTCAAACATCCCGGGAATGCGCGGGGCAGAACGAGATTGCCGCATAAAAAAAAGTAAGCAGACCTCAATCAAAGTATTCCACACCCCCATTATACAGCTAGACAAACGTAGCTGTAGCTGGGTTTAAAAAAAAAGTATTCTTCTTCGATTTCGATTTAAAGCTTTCGTGACTGCAGGGATTCATATTCTTGGTTATTTCGGTAAAGTCACGTAGAAGGGAAATAATAAAATAATACACGTAAAACAATAAAATTCTCATATGCTTCGTGAGAATTGTATTCATCTTCTTTGGTTCTTTCGGTAAAGTCACGTAGAATGAGAATAAAATAATAAATTGATAAAATAAAATAACACGATAATATTCTCACGACGTTTCGGCCACAACACAAGCGGCCTTCATCAGGTGAAGGGGACGAGACTGTCTGGAGGACAGCGCTGGATTGAGAAAGCCACGCTGAGATCACTCACTCCAGCGCTGTCCTCCAGACAGTCTCGTCCCCTTCACCTGATGAAGGCCGCTTGTGTTGTGGCCGAAACGTCGTGAGAATATTATTGTGTTATTTTATTTTATCAATTTATTATTTTATTCTCATTCTACGTGACTTTACCGAAAGAACCAAAGAAGATGAATCCTTGCAGTCACGAAAGCTTTAAATCGAGAATTGTATTGTTTTATTTGGATTATTTTATTATTTCCCTCCTACGTGACTTGACCGAAAAAAACAAGAATATGATTCTTCTTCGGCTCACTTTACTCAAATGGATCTTCACTTTGCCTCCAGGGTGCTTTTTTTTGCGATTCCATGCAATTAAATTAAAACAAAACAATATTTACCAAAACAACCACAGAGCAAATTGGGATCGGACTTGGCTCTGCGGTTGTGTAATTGTTATGCAGCACGCCACCGTGAGGCACCTGGGAATTTCGGTCGTTCTTCAAGCTTCAGGAATAGCGTGATCGTGGGCCTCATCAAGGATTAAAATGCCACGTGGGTGCGGCTGTGTGGCACGCCGAATGGATCCTCTGCTGTGGCAGACAGAATCCAGTGTCCTCCAGTTTTTTCCTTCTGGGCTTCAAAGTTCAGCATCACGGGACGATTTGGATTTTGAGGGAGCAGTGGTGGCACGAAGCATAAGCAATCAAAACCAATTTCTTAGAGCCCCTAGCAACTCAAGGGGCCCTGGATTCATGAAACAAATAATGGTGAACCAATATATAAGCTCAAATAAAAATATAATTAAGTTATAAATGACGCAACAAGGCTAATTTATCTCTGTCATCCCTATCATCTCTTCCCTCAAACAACTCCATATTTGTCTCTTGTCTACATCTCTTACTTCACTACATCTCTGCCTTATCTGTACCTCTTTTCTCTCATATCTTCATTTCTTAATCTCGTTCATCTCTCCTGTTATATCACTTGAAGTTTCTGCTTAGAGCCCCCAATTGGCCAGCACCACCGCTGTGTTGCAGAAACCCAGCGGCTGATGGGTGCGCTGTGGAAAGTATGCATATACGGCAAGTCCTCGCTTAACGTGTGGTGTTCACACAATGCGTTTTCGCTATAACGCGTTTTTTTCAATTAGCGAACACTTTTCGTACAACGCAAACATGCGCCCGTTATAACGCGGAACGCCTCCCGACCCCGTCCGTTATAATGCTAAACTCGCCCGTTATAACGGGTAACACGCGTTGATATAACTCAGTTTCTGTAGTGGTCAACGGCGAACTACTTTCTTGAACTGCGTGGCCGAGAGGTACGATACAGTTCATGGAATGATATAAGTAATGCAGCGGCATACCCCGAGTTATTTGTTTTGCTATCCCACCGTGTGTGCGTAGTAGTACATCGTATCTCGCCAAACTTTATCGTGACGTTCTTTATGGGGAAATTGCTTCCGCTGAAAGCGTTTTTCGCTCGATGTTGCAATTTTCAGGAATGCATCTACCACGTTGAACGAGGAATTACCGTACATTTGTTCAGTTATGTGCACTTCACATACAACCACTTACAAAAATGTAATCTTTCCAAATATATGAATGCACAAAATGTCTTCATCCCAATACACCCTATGCCTTTGTTCTTGAACTACACCTTTTACATTCTCAACCTGAACTACAACCGTTAACATTGTTATCAGTGCCGAATGCCGAAAAGCTATGAAAACTCTCCGCCATCATATCCACATGCATTCATCAGTGCTAGTTTTCTTATCATCCTCCGCCATGGTCAATCCACTGCAGGGTGAAGGTATCGCCAAGCCGCCGCCACCACCTTCCGTGCTCCAGCGTTGTTACAATCCACCCAGCACGTGCACCATAGTTACATTTCACTGCTCCATCTCCCCAGTGGACAGGCGCTCGGATGTCTTCAATTCCTTGGCTAGCACTCTATCGCGCATGTCGGTTTTTAGGTAGACACTGGCATCGAGGAATCTACTCAGAACTCTACACTCTGACGTTGCCACTCAGTTTGCGTAATTTAAGCATGGAATTCCTTCGAACCAAAGCAGAGAATCGCATTCACATCAAACCAAAAATAGCCAAAGTTGTTGAAATGCTTTATTTCATGCAGACATTGTATTATAAACAAGTTAGCCAAAGTATGACCGTGGAATTCAGAATAATTGCAAAGAGCACACGCACGTGAATGTCACAGTGAATAATTTCGCTGCGATAAACATTTTCATGGAAACCTCGATTGCTTTTTTCACGGATGTCTACTGGGCATCTGTAAAAAGAGCGTTATAGCTCATCGCGTTCCTGCAGTATAAATACATATTCTGATTCTGCTTTCAGTTGCCAATGTTTGGCAATTAAGTTATAGAAATGCACCAGTCCCCAAATTATCTTTTTTGGGATGTTTAATATTCACGACAAAGTTGCATAAAGGGAAAGAAACATCTCTAAAACATGAACTAAAACGTTAACTACAAACACTGGCTGCTGTTAATAACCAAACATTGGCTGTTTCAGGAACACAACTCTTATCAATCAAAACGAAGTCAAAGTCATTTATTTATTTAATGAGTTATCATGTCCTGTCTTAGAGCTCTGAGCCAGCAGTGGAAACTCTGCATTCCCATGGCAGGGGCCGAGTCCATTCATATGATTACCACTGACGATTTCCCACACAACATGGCACTAACTTTATGATGGGCCGAATCAACTCCCCCCAAACCAGGAATTGAACTTGCTTGCAAGCCACTCGCTCTACCCATAAGCCACCTGGTCTGAGTTTTTGAAAACTCATATAAAGTTTCAATAAACTCATTGGACAATATATACTCCCTCGCTCACGGAGATGCATTGTTGCATTCATCGCTTGCACACTGATTCATTTAGTAGCAGATCACTGAAGCGAATAAAGCGTATAAAAGAGAAATTGACACCAACGATATAAAATGGCATATTGGAGACTATATGAGATTATAATTTAAGTAGGATTTTGTTTGTGTGTGTACATCTATATGAACATTTTCAAAGAACTTCAATAAAAAAACCCTCTGGTGGAAGTGCGTGTATGAAGAGTATTAACACGTAAGCTTTCGCGACCAACATTATTCATAATAAAGGTTTTTGGGTTAGATCGCGTAAGTACTCAAATTGGAAATGTTGTAAATTTACTCTCCAACACACCGGTGGGCTGAAGTAGTAACTAATTGGCGCGTTGTTTACGTGACAAACCTTACTGGCTGTGTCAGATGGTGGAGGGTTACGACACATTTATGCTTACGTGATCTAACCCAAAAACCGTTATTATGAATGAAGAGTATTAATCAGATCTTGAAAAAGAATTGCGTAGTTTCCCAGGAAAAGATATGATGTATGTACACATTTTGTTGCAAAGAGATCTTTGAAAATAGTTTTAAGAAAGTAAAGACTGTACTTCTTTCTTCATTTCATTTTCTTCCTCGAAAATGTTTTTTCGTCCTGCAAAAAACAACAAACAACAATCAAAACATACACAAATAATCCACAATTACAGTACGCACGGTTCATCAAATGTTTAATATTGTATAGTACTTGAAACACAGAAATGATGTTATATTGTGATAATCAAAACATGTATTTACAACTTTGTATCAATCTACTGCTGGATGAAGGCCTCCTCATGCAATGTCAGTCATGAGCGTTGTTGTACCACACTTAAAACGTGCTCCTGAGTGCAGTTTGTTGAAGGGGAAGGCTCCAGGACTGGTGTAGATATCACATGGTACTGACGTTAGCCACGGTCAGGAATCAAACCCACGTGCCCAGGTTCATAACGTAGTGCGCAAATTACCGTGCAAATGCTCCCCCGGGCATATTTCAACAAATCATGTATGGGAAGCTGCCATGGTGTAAGAGTGCACTGGAGCTACAGCCCAGAGGTTTCCAGATCGGCAATTTCCCACCGAGCAGTATAAATGGATGCACCACAGTTCGTCGATTGGCAGGTGGTGTGTGGTTGGGGTAAAGTGTGGGTACTCCCACCTATTTCGAAGACGCCTGGCCAGCGCGTGAGAGTGGGGTCAAAATTCACCCCTGGAGCACCGACGAGCGGAGGGCCTTTCTTGCGCGAGCAGTTGCGCAAGCAAGCAAATGCCAGGCTGCACCTTTGCCTTGATTTAATAACTTATCCTAGCGCTAGAGTCATTCACTCGAGGAACTATGAAGTGCATCGGACAAAGGGCCGGCAATGTCACAGAGAGAAATGTGCGGTGTGTTGCGAGCATTACCGCTCTGCGCCGTGTTACCGCCGGCTGTGTTTTGACACATGTCGGCACATTTTTCAAATGTTGTACATTTCTGACAGGACCATTGGGGTTCACGTTTTATTATTTTTATTTCCTCCTGCTGCACTGCAGACTGGAGGAGTCGCACCCCCCACCCCCCCACCACCACCTCCCCCACCATCCCCCCACGTGATATTTTTCCAATATCGTCACCCTTTCCACGCACGACACCTCAATAACCCCCAGCAGAGGATTTTTTTGTCTCGCCTCGCTGTAATCTTTACATCAATGGGTAGCATTACGTGTGATGGACCACCGCTAGCTGAAAAGCATTTTTGTTATTTTCCTACATCATCACCACGTCTGCCCAATGATGTAATTCCCCTTACAGGAATTTCGCATATCGCTGCCGGTTTACATTGATCGCAATGTTGAAACGACCGCCTGTACTGCGCCTCTCCCAGTTATGATCTTGACCTCGGTGACCTCTGCGACCTCTCGCCACTGGGGTTTATTCTTTAGGAAATGCAACATCGGGTTTTCGGAAGGTCCTTTAAGCAAGACATCCAGTAATTCCTGCTCGGGCCAAATGAAAATCCGCAAACGCGCGAGGACGGTCGGACGTGTGGCTCAGAAGATAACACAGGAGGATGAGTCACTTGTCTGAGGCCGGATTCTTCAATCTGCAAGTCGGCTCAGGCAACAGGTTTCACCGAGGGTTGAATTTAGATTACGCAAAAAAACCCACGTGCAACCAAGTTGCACACCTGATATTCCACTGCACGCCTGAGTGCTTGTGAAGGGTATTTATTAAAACATTACATTTTACGACACGAGCAGCTATTGAAGTCTCGCACGCATATCACTCCTCCGCAAATTGCGAAAAGCACCAGACCATACTACGTGAAGAGTGATTAAAACTTTTTGACAGTGTGAGATATTGTTTCACGCATCCAACTGCTACAGCCACGCGTTTATCAATGCAGTCACGCTGACTGCATTTTATCGGCAATATGCAATAACGGATCTTTACCCTGACATTAGTTTAGGTTTGATATATATTTTTTTGAATACCTTCTCCTCTAAATAGCCTCACTCTCGCTCCTAATTCCGTGTGCGTTATATGACACGCACGAGCCATGCAACTTGCCACTCTATTCCGTGAGAAGTTTGGGTTTGGCGTTCGTGCAATTTCGCCACGTGCTGCGGCCGCCTCAGTGTTTTGTGTCTCTTTGACAAGGTCTCAACCCCGAGCATGGAGAGAAAGAGAGAGAGCTGTGCATGCAATTCACGTGCCAGAGGCGAGCACGCCGAGGAAGCCGGGTGTCCAGGTCTCCCTCCTGGTCTCCGCATGTACAAAAGAACGGGAATAATTGCGCTGTCAAGGCCCTTGCTTAGAGGGTTTTTATGCCATCACCTCCACCAACAGCCACAAAGGTGGATGCAGCGGGGAAGGAGGCAATTGTGTTCTGCGCCTTTAAGAAACTGGCCCCAGCAGTTCACCAGATGTGTTCAACACAATCTGCTTGTCATGCTGTGACATCTAAATATTGTATGACGAGCATACGAATTTCAAATCAAAGTGTGGATTTAAATGTGGCTATATTGCCAATAGCTTTTGGGTAAAAGTATAGAAGGTAATCAAAAACGTTCCTCAGGAAATTCAAATATGTAATAACGAATAATACTGTAAGCATCCATTTTTTTACTACGGGGTTCCAGATCTCAGTGACAAGGGATAATCGACTTTCATTGAGTTTTTATCTGATTAATAATGAACAGTCAACATGATGTTTCTTTTAAGGAAAGTAGGCTCGGACAGCGAAATTGCCTCACTCGATTCGAATTCTATCCCGTTCTTACATACATTAAAAAAACCCACATGAAGCACATAGCATGGGCATCGCACCTCCGATCATCACGGTTGGCTACATACGGTGCGAAAGAAGTTCAACTAACATCCATACGTACACCTCCTGTGTTCAACACTCACGATGTAGTGACAGCCATTAAGGGACCACGCCCAAGATTGTTTTTCCACCGCCGATATGGAGAGATGAGATTGGCTCATGTATAAGAGCTAGATGGATCGTTGCTTTCGGACACCATGAAAGATATGATGGCACATCATATAATTTGATAGATCACGGCTGTCGATGACAATGGTGATTCATCTTAATAATACAACTAATTGACATTTGTAACGCGCATTTCATCCATAGATGTCAATGCGCCAGGTATGAAAAGTAGAAAATAAAGATAACCAGGGTAAATGACCAGAACTGGGGGGTAGAGGCTAATTTAAAGATGAACAAACATGATCCCTGCCATGACAACGTGGAATTTATAGATGAGCGTCCCCCAATGCTCATTCGTGAGTGCCACTCCAATGCTCGTTTTAATATGGGACCCCACTTTTGCATAAAGAACATTGCTATCTGAGCAGCAGGACTGGCACAGGCCAGTTTGGTTTGCATTGCCAACCACTAAACCAAGGACATGCGAATAGAAGTCCCTTAAAGTTCACAAAATATCACAGAGCTATTTTAATTCATGGGAATGGTTTCCAAGGCATGCATGTTTCCAACTAACACGTTTGTGATCAACGCGTTTCCAACACTACTTTTAAAAATGAAAGAAGGCTCGCCATTGGAAATCCGATACATCATTCAAATATAGGCAGTGGCCCACACTCAAAAATTATATTTAGTTGGTTTCAGTAAAATTGTATGAATTGAAGTGAAGCAATCACGGGCAATTGCATATATATATGTATAAATCTATTGTTAGTTGCGGAGAGCAGCGGGCACAGTGGTTAGCACACTCCGCTATGAGCCCGGTAACTTGAGTTCAATTCCCAGCCACAGCTGACATCAGTGGTAATATCTGCACCAGTGCTGAGTGTCCCCTTCACCAAGAGACACTTGACCAGCGTGGTGTCGTTATTTCGATGCAGACCGCCGAGAGACTGTCATCCGGCAGTGGATTGACAAAGGGCCGTAGATTGTGACTGCATTTGGTCAGATGTGTTAATATTATCTTCTGATTGTAACATCTTTTGGCTGAAAATGAGACCACGTTTAAATTTATTAAGCAATCCCATTAAATGTAACGATATTGAACCACAATAAACATTTACTATCTGTACCAGCCTGAAAGATTAAGCTCCGTTTAATGGGGTGTTTGGCTTTTGGCTGGAGCTGAATTAAACACACAAAGGACCAATGCCATTAGAAAGTAAAAGTGAAACTACGCAGACTTTAAACTGTCACTGCTGCAATGGGAGTAACGGGTTTAACACAACTCAGACGCACCGAATACCAAGGGAGAGAGGTTTAGCCTAATCTCAGTGTCTGCTTCTTTTTTTACGAGATAATTGTCCTTTAAGAAAAGTTTCCCCCAACCATACTTGATATTTCGCAAACTGATAAAAACAAAATGTACGGCACATATCCATCCACACAAACCATTTTACTGATTGATGTGAATCCTCTCATCGCGTTTCAAAGCAGTGGGTATATTTTGAAAGATAAATATAATAAAGTCAACTTCTGATTTAAAGCTTTCGTGACTGCAGGGATTCATATTCTTGGTTCTTTCGGCAAAGTCACGTAGAAGGGAAACAATAAAATAATAAAAATATAAAACATTAAAATTCTCACCACAGCAAGAAAAATGTTGAAAAATTTTCTTGCTGTGGTTTTCACACCTGATGATGAATGCTTGTGTTGCATTCGAAACGTCGTGAGAATTTTATTTTTTTATTATTTTATTGTTTCCCTTCTACGTGACTTTACCGAAAGAACCAAGAATATAAAAGTCAACTTCCTTTCGTTTAACCATTTATTGTGACACTCCATTAACAATGGTGCATAGGCACAAATAACAAACATCATAGAGATGTCATGAAGAAGGGCTCTAGCTTGAAATGTCCCAAATTATACATAGAGTTCGTATTTTTTCCTTTTAGGGCAAATGTATGGAATGTTTACGCCATTTATCCAAACAAACTATTTACTGTATACTTTGTGGATGTGCAATAACTTTATTTGTTTCAAGTAAGGCTTTTAATTTCTGCACGGCACACGAGTGGTGCACGTCTTTACGTTCAGCAGCCACATGCCCTCACGTAACAATGCACAGCACACTGGAACAGAGCCTGAGAGTCGAGAAGTAGGGGGAAAAGAAGGGCCAGACCACCTGTGTAGTCGAAAT